TCTCTCTCTCTCTCTGCCTGCCTCTCCGTCTACTTGTGATCTCTCTCTGTCAAATAAATTTAAAAAAAAAAATCTTAAAAAAAAAAAAGAAAAAACAAATAATCCCAGGTAATAGCTCTGAAGAAATGACAGAATTATAATTACAACCCTAATGAAATTATTATTTTTTTAAGGATTTTTATTTATTTATTTGACAGACTGAGATCACAAGTAGTCAGAGAGGCAGGCAGAGAGAGAGAGGAGGAAGCAGGCTCTCTGCTGAGCAGAGAGCCCCATGTGGGGCTCAATCCCAGGACCCTGGGATCATGACCTGAGCCAAAGGCAGAGGCTTTAACCCACTAAGCCACCCAGGCGCCCCCATAATTAAATTACTGATTCAGGTTAAGGATTCTCACTTGGGGGGCGCCTGGGTGGCTCAGTGGGTTAAAGCCGCTGCCTTCGGCTCAGGTCATGATCTCAGGGTCCTGGGATCGAGCCCCACATCGGGCTCTCTGCTCAGCTGGGAGCCTGCTTCCCTCTCTCTGCCTGCCTCTCTGCCTACTTGTGATCTCTCTCTCTGTCAAATAAATAAAATCTTAAAAAAAAAAAAAAAAGGATTCTCACTTGGTGTGTGGTTGATAGATAAATGCCATTCACATAGTGCCTAAACAATATCACACAGGTTACGTTATGGTTGGTAACAAGGAAGTCTTGACTATAATGGAGGGATCCAGTCATCATCACCTGAATCTAGGGGCCAAATGTGAGCATTACTAATATTACTAATATTAACATTATGGTTCTCTCAGTACAACACAAAATGATATATATAAAATTACCTAAAAGGGGGGCACCTGGGTGGCTCAGTGGGTTAAAGCCTCTGCCTTCAGCTCAGGTCATGATCTCAGGGTCCTGGGATTGAGCCCCGCATCAGGCTCTCTGCTCAGCAGGGAGTCTGCTTCCCACTCCCTCTCTCTCTCTGCCTGCCTCTCTGCCTACTTGTGATCTCTGTCATATAAATAAATAAAATCTTTAAAAAAATAATAAAATTACCTAAAATGTATTCTAATCAAAATGTTTAGGGGTGCCTGGGTGGCTCAGTGGGTTAAGCCTCTGCCTTCGGCTCAGGTCATGATCTCAGGGTCCTGGGATTGAGCCTCACATCGGGCTCTCTGCTCAGCGGGGAGCCTGCTTCCCTGTCTCTCTATCTCTGGTTGCCTCTCTGCCTACTTGTGATTTCTGTCAAATAAATAAATAAAATCTAAAAAAAAAAAAAAGTTTAGCATCGAGACTTTAAGTCTACTGTTGGGGCGCCTGGTTGGCTCAGTTGGAAGAGCATGTGACTCTTGATCTCAGGGTCATGAGTTCAACTCCATGTTGGGTCCAGAGATTACTATAAAAATAAACTTAAAAAATAAATAAATCTACTGTCTATAGTTTACAGAAAACTCAGAGCAAGGTATAGTACCAAACCAAATGATACCATAATGTAACAATGAGGCAAACTTGGAAAGTAGGTCATCGTGCAGGACAACTGTGGACTCTTTTAACAAGTCAGCATGATTAAAAAAGGGATGGTTCAGGGTTGGAAGAGACTTAAAGAACATAATAACCAGATGTAATGCAAGGATCTAGACTGGGCCCTGGTTTAGATGAATCAGGTAAAAAAGATCTTTCTGGAACAAATGGAGAGATTTGTGTATACGCTGGATTTTAGATAAGAAATTTTATTGACATGGAAAGATGGCAATTATTAACAAACAAAAAAAAGCAAACTACAAAACAGCACATATAGCATGAGCATATATATTTTAGCAAATACGCAAACACACACACACACACACACACACACACACACACCTGACAGGATATTTGGAGCTTTTATTTTTTGATTATCTGTGTTTTCTAAATTTCTACAATACATATATGTGTATATATATATATAGATAGATAGAGACATAAATATAGATACAAATATACTGCTTTAAAAATAATAAATGGTTAAATAAAAAAAAACAAGGATTTCTATTCAACAAAAGATGCCACAGACAGGTGACATTTTAAGAGAAAATATTGGCGACAACTAAAATTGACTAGAAATTATCTGGAACAGATTGTCTCAACTAGGATTCCTCACCTGAATCTCAAAATCCAGCAAATAAATAATCTGAGTACCTGTTTTCTCAACTCTTCTGAGGATGACAGGAAAATAGTACCATTCTTAGAGGCATACGAGGAAAGTAAATTTATTATGTACAATACATGTCTTAGGGCTTAATTCTCCCTAGGAACTAAACTATAATAGGCAAGGATCTTCTGCAAAGCAACAAGAGAAAGATAGGAAACTCAGTAGAAAATTTGGTCAAGAATATGAATAGGCAATTCATGGAAGGGGAAACCACAAAAAAAAACAAGCAAGCATATGAAAAGCTGCTCAATCTCGTTAGTAATCAGAGGCATGCAAATTAAAATGAGATCACTCTATACCAATCAGCTTGGCAAAATTAGAACACTGGCTGATGCCATGTGTTGCTGAGAATATGCAGAAACGGGATCCCTGATGGCATGCTGACCAGGAGTACAAGTGCTCTGGTCATTCGGGGGATTAATCTGATGATCTCTACGCAATTCCCCTGCATGTCTTCTGTGACCCTGCAGTTCCACTCCCAGCTACAAACCTGAGAAACCCCAGCCCAGGACCCACAAGGGCACGTGTAGAAGGATGCTCATGGTGGCAGGTGGCACCGTTTGCAGGGGAAGGAAGGTAGAGGCAATCTAGGTCTCTAGCCTCAGGGGAACGTATAAATAAAATACAGTGAATACACGCCATAGATTCTTGCACAGCGGTTAGAAGCAAAGAACTAAACGCACAAACAGTGGCATGAAGATATCTCAAAAGAGGTGTTGAATTAAGAAACAGAACACACAATCCATAGCTCAATGCCATTTATAGAAATTGAAAATGAATACATATACAAAATGAGGTTCGTAGCTTTTCAAGGGTACAAACATAATCCAAGTATATGTAGCAAAACATTAGAATTGGAGGGGTAGCTATGGGTAAAAGGGAAGCAGGCAAGGGGCTGGGAGGAAAGGGGAAAAATAAAGAGAGAAGACTCGTAGAGACCAATGATGATTAAGTACCACACTCTGAGGATAAACTTAATTCTGTATACCTGAATCTTAAAAGCAAAAACCAAAACCTCCAAACGAACAAGCCAGCTCTGAGTGGGGTGATGATGGGAACGGTGTCAGGAAACCTGGAAAGGAGGCAGCTGGAGCAGAGGGAAAAGCACTGAACCTGGGAGTCAGATAAGCAGGGGCTGGCTCTGAGCTTTGCGGCTTACTGGCTGGCTCTTTGACCTTGGATACATCCCCAACCTCCCACCGCCTACGTATCAAACACCGGTACAAGATGTACACACAAGCAGATAGCAGAATCACTCCCAACACATAGTAGGTGGGAGGTACCGCTGGATAAATGACAACTACAGAGCAGGAACCCACTTTGAAGATCACTGAATTCCACGGTTTTCCAGCTGCAAGTGGCGACCCATTCATGGGTTCTGAAATAAGTTTAGTGGGCCCCAAAGAGCATTCAAAATAAAGAAAACAATATACCAGCATGTATTTCACTAAAAGTGTCATTTTATAAAACTCTTACTTAAGTTATATATATGTGAGTATAAAATGCATTTTTTTTCCCTATGGGATGCAGTTTGAAAAACATGGATACTGCCCAAAGGAACGCTGTACTTTTGAATTTCATGAACCAGTAAGTATTCACCAAGCCAACAGAAAGTTGTTCATAGTTGCCACTTTTTAATATAGAAAGGGCATCAAAAAAGAAACTCTCATCTCCTATTAATATTGTATCATAAAGGAAAGGACATTCTTAACACTGTAAAAACAGAATAAAAGGCTTTATGTAAAATTCATTACACTGTACCTATTTCTCGTTTCCCCATCTTTTGGAACAGGAGGAAAGAATGCCAGAAGTAGGAAATGACTCAATCAAGGTAATTCAGCTGTGGTAGAGGTGATGCTTAACCCACAGGTCCTGGCTATGCCTTCTAAGCTCTTCTCCTCAGAACCCTAAGAGATCCATAGAAGAGAAGCCCAGCAGCTGGGGCTGTGGAACGCCCAACCTGTTTTACTGGGAGCAGCTCTGCTTCTAAGATTTCATTGCTAAAAAAAAAAAGTTAAAAACACAAAAACAAAGACTAGCTGGGGGTGGAATGCTGTCTCCCAGGATAAGACCAAAACAGCGAGGTCATTATATTCTAATTTAAATTTAGATTATTTTTTTCCTAGGAAGTTATTTAAGATTTCTGAGCAAGGGGGAGAAGAGATTGCCATTGTGTTTAAGGATCATCACTCGGGTGGTAGTGTGAACGCCAGATTAGCCGGGGAGGAAGAGCAAGGAGAGAGCAGTCATTTAACTACTGCAACCGTCCTAGCATGAGGTGGTAAGGGAGGTCCTTCTTGAGGCAGCAGGGACACACAGGAAAGCACCCCCTAATTTTCTGTGGTCATGGCTAGTCACAGCCAGGCCACAGGCAGCCTGTCCAGACACTACCCCATATGCTGCCTCCCTTCTATTTTTTAATGTCCCAGTATCTAACTGCTTGGGCAGCTCTCCAGAGACATGGGCATAAGGTGGGATTCAGGGCCCCTCACCTGCAATGCTAGCTGGCAGTCCTCAATCAGGCCCTGTACCAGGTAGTAGCGTGCTTCACCTAGTAGCTCCCCCAGTTCTCTGGTACTCTCAGGTAGTGGCACGGACCCATCCCGCAGGTAGTTGAGGATTGTACCAAAGTGGCGGCCGCTCCGGTCAATCAGCACCCAACCTGGTGGAATGGAGAGAGGAAGGAGGAAGGATGGCTTTGCGGGGGGCCTTGGAGCTACTAAATTCTTATGAAAAACAGATTCCAAAGCTACAAGTCTGAATACTGATCTGTCTCAAACCTCTGCCATGTCCAAGAAAATCCCTTTGAAACATCTCCAGTGAGTTCTCCCATAGACCCTTTTTAAACATTTGTAGAGAATTTAATCCCTTCCAACTCTCTTCTACATTAAAAAAAAGTTCCCACCATGAGAAAATGATTATAGATTACCTTATCAACAAACTTGAACCTTTAGTGTTAATCCTGACCATCCTATTTAATTAAAATATCTACCCCACCATTGTAACCTTTATATAATTCATAGAACTTATTATTTGCAATTACATGTATTTTTTGTATGTGTATTTGGTTATTATTTTCCTTCTGCCCCCACAAAAAAGTAAAGTCCGTAAGACTTACCCTGTCTGATTCATTTACCAAAGCAGCTCTGGCGCTTTACAAATACTTGCTGAATAAATAAATTACTTCTGAAACTTCAGATATTTGAAGACTGAACTCCATCTCCCGAAGAACTTTAATTTTCTTGCTCTTACAATACTTGTTATACCCCCTCTGAATACCTTCCCCCACCTTCACACAAATTTTACAGTTCTGCCTGGGCATGTGGGTCCCATCCCTGAAGGCAACACTCCACGAAGGTAAGGTTCACCTGCCAAAGAGAACTGTCCCACCCTCCTCTCTGGTGTCCATGGCAAACCCCAAAACAGCCTTTTCCTACAATCTGCATTTACAGGTGGATCCCTGGAGTGAGCGTACAGGGAACTGTGTTAGAGGAACATAGAGCCAGACAACTGCTCCAGGCTGGCGGTTAGCAGTGCTGAAGCAGAGAGGCAAACCTAAGGCTGGGCAGTTGGAAGGTACGTGAAGGTTGCCTGGAAGGGTGCTGCTGACATCAGGGCTGGTTCCCAAGTCGTCTGAGCTGAGGAATAAAGGGTGGGAGAATTGGAGGGGACCGGTAAAAAAAATTCTGAAGCGACATGTTTAATTACTTACCACAGCGCCTACTGGAGGGGGGCGTGTGATGTTCCATAGACGCTAGTTATTGCTAGGGGTGGACTGAGCAGAGCGGGGTTATGAATGAGAAAGGGGAGATGAGACGGGAAGTGGGGCAGGAGGGCGGTGAAATGAGTTGACTGGACGGTAGAGATACGAGAGAGGGGGTATGGGGAGACTGGGCAAGGGAAGGCAGAAGGGAATCTGGAGGAAAAGGGACCACACAGGTAAGGGCGGCGCGGCGTACCTCCCGCGTCCGTGAGCACCTCCGCGCGGCCGCTGAACATGGCCTTGAGCATGGTGTCCTGTCCCGTGAGGGTGCGAAGCGTGGTGTAGTGCAGCGAGCCGCCCACGTTCAGCTTCACGTACTTGCTGTTCGGGGTCAGGGGTTTCAGACCGTAAGCGGCGGAGCCAGTCTCGAGACCCGAGGGCTTAGGGACTTCCAGGGACGGGGCCTCGGCTACCGCCGGGCCCGAGGCCTCGGCCGACATGCCAGGGAGTGGCGGCGGACGGGGACGCTAAGCTCTCTCCGCACCCTCCGGCGGCTCCCAAAGGCCCCGAAACCGGAGCCCTCGAGCCAGACCGCCCGGCCCGCACGCCCACACGCCGCCGCTACCCAGCCGCACTGGCTCCTAGCCCCATCGCGCCGGAGCCGCCCGGAAGCCCGGGCCGAGCAGCTGCGCAGACGCGCCAAGGACCCGCCCCCGCCCTCGCGCGCCGGCGGTGCGGAGCATGCGTGGTGGCCTTGGGCCCGTTGAGAGGTAGCACGCCGCCTTTGGCTGTGTGAGGTGGCCGCGAGGTGAGCTCCTACCGCGAGTCCCAGACCCTGGTTGGAGGACGCGCCCCGCCACGGCCTGTTGTGGAAAGCGAGGTCTCCGCCGGGTGGTTGGTTGGGTCTGCTCTCAGAGTGCTTCGCGTGTGTGAAGGCCGAGGTTTCCCGCCTCCCATCCCCGCGCTTTTGACAGACTGAGGAGAACTTGGAACAAAGCACCAGGGGAGACGTGTACAAGAGGCTAAAGTGAGGGAGCCTCCTAGAGGAGATGACGGTAGTGCTAGGGCATGCAGGGTGTGAGTAGGTAAGGTCGTCAGGGAGGGCGTCCCTGAGGAGGTGATGCAGAGCTGAAGCTGAGAAGACTGGGCCACGTGGAGGTGTGAAGGAGGGCTCCAGGCAGAGGGAAGGGCGCACACACAGACCCTAGGCAGCAACACGCCTGGTGGTTCTGAGGAGCAGAATGAATCACACGGATGGATGCGTGCCGAGCAAAGGTCATACAATCCCAGCTAAGATCGCGAGACACCCAGTCCTGGGGGTGGAGTGGGGGGAGTAAAATAGGAACACGTTATTGACCAGAAAGTGTGCTGGGAAGTGTTTTATCTGACTGGATCTACATTCCGTTGAGAAGCTGATACTCAGAAATGTAACAGGATCTTAATGTCTAGTGTGGGGTTTGCTGGAAGGAAATTTTTTAAAAAAGATTTTGTTTATTTATTTGACAGAGATCACAAGTAGGCAGAGAGGAAGGCAGAGAGAGAGAGGGAGAAGTAGGCTCTGCTGAGCAGAGAGCCCGATATAGGGACTTGATCCCAGGACCTGAGATCATGACCTGAGCTGAAGGCCGAGGCTTTAACCCACTGAGCCACCCAGGCGCTCCGCTGGAAAGAAAATTTAAATAGAGTTATAATTTCCAACCTGCCACCAGCTCACTGGGTGATCCTCGGCAAGTCACCTTTCTCTGGGCTTGGTTTGTATTTTGCTTAGTGAGGGGCACAGATTTCAATGCCAGGGGGTAGTTAGGAGTGCAAATGAGTGGGGTGGGGGCATTATAAGATATTGGGGAGTAACGAGGCCTGGGGTGACCCAGAGAGCTCGTGTTTTACCAAAAGGGGTTCCCAATTCTATTTTTCAAGTGTAACTGGTGAAAAAGAGAAAAGCACCCCATGGCTGCTGGGAGCTAGTTTACACTCCCTCTGGAAGCGTTGGTAATGCTAGGAGCCAGCCTGGCACGATCAGCTAGGCTATGGTGTTATCCTGTTGAGCATCAACAAGTTCACAGAACACCAACACCAGACAAAGGCGCTCTCTGATGGATTGAGAGAAAGACCATTTCATAATCATGTCTGAACACAAAAACAAGAACATTGCCCAAACCACAAAAATGACCAAACATAACCTCTACCCCCACAGTTTGAGTAACTGCTGCTTCTTTACGCAAGAGCAGCTTTAATCCCTGGTCGATTCCTCCTAATTTCTAGATTAAAATTATTAAGATAATTAAAAAGAATTATCCCCACTTCCTAACAATATCCAACCTAGAGCAAATCTCCCTTCTCAAGCCCTCCTCGAAAATCATCTAACACAAGTGCAAATCCTATGGTAAGGCCACGTTCTTGCTGAGATGTCCATGATGGGTTCCCCATGCTGTGCCATTTCCCTTGTTCAACTACAGGTGGGCTCCCACTGATCTTTGACTGGAGGGCCAGAAATGGAGAATCCACAGAGATTCCGCTGAAGCCCTCACTACGTTGGACCGGGACCCTCAACTCTAGTAATAATGTGCACGTCTGAGAACCTTTTGTGTGTCTAACTGTTTTGAGTTGCCATCCTGCCCATGGCTGGGAGGTAAGTTCTCACTATATGTGAGCTCTGATATTTTGTTAAGACCCTTCGGTGTTGGGATTATTTTGTTTTCCTTACAATAAGGTCCCATTTGGGTTTATGGTTTTCCAATTAGATTTTTATTTTTCCTTAGTAAAATTGTTTTCTGGCTTTTTACACCTGCTCCTCTGCTCTGTCCTCTTGTTCATTTGCCATTTGTCTGTAAGAGGAGGCATTTCTAGGGAAAGGACAGGTGTGCAGCCCTGGGTGTCTAAGGTATCACAAATCTGTTACAGCTCAAACTCTAGTGATTGTCCCTCTAAGAAGCTGGAGATGGCAACCACTTAGGGGTCATATAACCAGTTAGCATGCTTGAGTGTCATTTGTTACCAGGATAAACGAGAAAATCACCTTATCAACCAGTGTCCAATAAGTCTGTACTACAACCAGCCTTAGAGGCTATGGGATTTAAAAGGTATCCTCAGACCAGTGTCTTTTGGATAAACTTTGCCTCAGATTGCTATTTTATTTATTTATTTATGATTTTATTTATGATTTTATTTATTTGAGAGAGAAATAGCAGAGAGCACACACTGAGGTGGGGGGGAAGGGGGGAAGGGGAGAGGAAGAAGTTAGAAGCAGATTCCCTACTGAGGCTTGATTCCAGGACACTGGGATCATGACCTGAGCCAAAGGCAGATGCTTAATCAACTGATCCACCCAGGCGCCCCTCAGATTGCCATTTTAAATTGCTATAAGGACTTCTTCCTTAATTTTGTCTGTGTCCCTGGGAACTGCTTAGTTTCGTTTCTTCTGCCCAGAATCGGGACATTTTTTTCTGGCTCCTGTCAATGATAATTGGCCTTTGGCCAAGTTCTGCAGATACAGGGCTGCACAGCACCATCCTTACGGATCCTTGTCTCAACGAAAACTGGGCCAAATTTCTGCTTCCTTCTCACAATTACACTAACTTGTACCCTTACCTTTCTGACACCATCTCACTAGGGACAGGTTAGAACTGCAGTGGCCCCTAACAAGACTGTTTATTTGAGAGGTACCTCAGAACAAAAAAAAAAAAAAAAAAAGGAAGAAACCCCCATGAAGAGATTATTTGCCTTGTTTGTTAAAAAGAGAGATTATGGGGCGCCTGGGTGGCTCAGTGGGTTAAAGCCTCTGCTTTCCGCTCAGGTCATGGTCTCAGGGTCCTGGGATCGAGCCCCGCATCGGGCTCTCTGCTCAGCAGGGAGCCTGCTTCCTCCCCTCTCTCTGCCTGCCTCTCTGTCTACTTGTGATCTCTGTCTGCCAAATAAATAAATAAAATCTTTAAAAAAAAAAAAAGAGAGAGATTATTAGGGCGCCTGGGTGGTTCAGTGGGTTAAAACCTCTACCTTCGGTTCAGGTCACGATCCCAGAATCCTGGGATCGAGCCCTGCATCCAGCTCTCTGCTCTGTGGAGAGCCTGCTTCCTCCTCTCTCTCCCTGCCTGCCTCTCTGCCTACTTATGATCTGTGTCTGTCAAATAAATAAATAAAATCTTTAAAAAAAAAAGAGTGAGAGATTATTTTATGGGGTACCTGGCTGGGTCAGTTGGTGGAGAGTGCTACTCTTGATCTCAAGGTTGTGAGTTCAAGCCCCACATTGGGTGTGGAGCCTACTTTTTTTTTTTTTTACCAGTCAATATTTTTCTGGTTTTTTTTTTTTTTTTGAGATTTTATTTATTTATGAGAGAAAGAAAGAGAGAGGGAGAGAGAGAGAGAGAAAACAAGCATGGGGAGGAGCAAAGGGAGAGGAAGAAACAGGCTCCCCACTGAGCAGAGACCCTTATGTAGGGCTGGATCCTAGGACCCTGCAATCATGACCTGAGCCAAAGACAGATGTTTAACTGACTGAGCCACCCAGGTATCCCATGTGGAGCCTACTTTAAGAAAAAAAAAAAAAAGGTGGGGGGCATGTCTGGGTGGCTCAGTAAGTTAAGTGTCTGCCTTTGGCTCAGGTCATGATCCTAGGGTCCTGGGATCAAGTCTCACATCAGTCTCTTTGCTCAGCGGGGAGCCTGCTTCTCCCTCTGTCCCTCCCCTGCTCGTGCCCCCTCTCTCTCTCTCTTTCTCTTAGAGATAAATAAATAAATAAAATCTTATTAAAAAAGAGAAAGAGGGGTGCCTGGGTGGCTCAGTGGGTTAAGGCTTCTGCCTTCGGCTCAGGTCATGATCCCAGGGTCCTGGGATCGAGCCCCGCATCGGGCTCTCTGCTCAGCAGGGAGCCTGCTTCTTCCTCTCTCTCTTTGCCTGCCTCTCTGCCTACTTGTAATCTCTGCCTGTCAAATAAAATAAATAAAATCTTAAAAAAAAATAAAATAAAAAAGAGAAAGAGGGGTGCCTGGGTGACTCAGTGGGTTAAGCCTCTGCCTTCAGCTCAGGTCATGATCTCAGGTTCCTGGGATCGAGCCCCCCATCAGATGCTCTGCTCTGCAGGGAGCCTGCTTCCCCTCTCTTTCTGCCTGCCTCTCTGCTTACTTGTGCTCTCTCTCTCTCTCTGTCAAATAAATAAATAAAATCTTTTTTAAAAAAGAAAGAAAAGAAAAAGAAAGGGGAAGAGATTATTTTGTTTTACACAGGTGATTATTTCATTTCCGTACTTTGGAGATTAATAAATGCTGACTTTTTAATTGTATAGCTCTATTAAATTGCTGAGTTCCTAACTTATTTTTTTAAGCAGACTGGAGCATTACTCTTCTTTATGTGTATATGTATATGTCAAAATGTGTTTTGGGGGGCACTTGGGTGGCTCAGTCAGTTAAGCGTCTGACTCTTGATTTCAGCCCAGGTCATGATCTCAATGTGGTGAGATGGAACATCAGGTTTGGCCTTGGCTATGGAGCCTGCTTAAGATTCTCTCTCTGCCTCTCCCTCTGCTCCTCCTCCCCGAAAGGCAAACAAAATGTGTTTTTCTACATTTAAACTGTTTTCCTTCTCCTTGCAGGAGAAACATGGATTAGCGTTTTAGAGTGATAATTTTATAATTATCTGAAGTAACTCCCTCTCACTTCTTTTTGCTGT